AACTTTTGCTTCAGCTGCTTCCAGAGTACTTCACTCCGCATGTCCGGATGTAGGAGGTCTAAGGCTGTCTTTAGCTTTCTGCCCATTAGCAGCTCAGATGGACTATGACCTGTTAGTGAATGCTTTGTAGTTCTGTATGTCAGAAGCATCCTGTCAATCTTGGTCTGAAAATGTCCAGATGACGCTTTCTTCAGCATTCCTTTCACGGTCTGCACGACGCGTTCCGCAGCTCCGTTTGATGCTGGGTGGTAAGGGGGAATCAGCATGCGTCGGATCCCATTGCGGCTCAGGAATTCGCTGTACTTGTCTCTTACGAAGGCCGGACCGTTATCCGAAACGACAATATCTGGTAGACCGTGTGTCGAAAAGATGTTCCGAAGGCATTTGATCGTAGCATCAGCAGAGGGTGACGATACCGGTATGACCTCAACCCACTTCGAGTATGCGTCGACCAATACCAGGAAATAACGTCCTTGAAATGGACCACCAAAGTCAACATGTAAGCGAGACCATGGCCGTTCTGGAAAAGGCCACGGGGTTGACTGTACTTTCCGGTCGGAACGGTGATGTTCTTGGCATTCACGACAATCTTGAAGCTTTGCCGAGATACTGTGGTCTAGCCCATCCCACCAGACGTGACTTCGTGCAATGGACTTCATCTTCTCCACTCCTGGATGGCTTTCGTGCAGTAATTGAAGTACTTGCTCTTGTAACCTGACTGGGATGATCACTCTTGATCCCCACAGTAAACAGTCTTCTTGGACGCTGAGTTCTGTCAGCTTTGTTCGAAAAGGCGACCACTGTGGTCCTCCTGGGAGATCGCTACCGGACCACAGTGCTTGTCTCACTCGTGACAACACTGGGTCAGTCGCGGTATGCTGTGCAACGACTGCGGCGGAGAGAACAGCAGGGTACGCCGCTTCCAACATGAGTACATCAGCTGGCCGCGGAAGTTGGAAGTTGTCCACTGGTAACGGTAAGCGACTCAACGCATCGGCGTTACCTATGCTCGGGCCGGGTCGGTAGACCAGCTTGTACTTGTACGCTGCTAGTGTAATTGCCCAACGAATGACTCGAGGTGATCCTCTATCTGGAATGGCCTTGTCAAGGCCCAGAAGTCCAAGGAGCGGTTTATGGTCAGTGACGGCTTCAAACTGGTTACCCCAAAGGTACTGATGAAACTTCGTCACTCCGAAAACGAGTGCCAAGGCTTCCTTATCAAGCTGACTGTAATTTTGCTCAGCTGGTAGAAGGCTTCTCGAGGCGAAGGCTATGGGACGTTCTTGTCCCCTTGAATCTCGATGGGCAAGAACAGCGCCGAGTCCGTAAGGAGATGCCTCACAGCTGAGGATGATCTCTTTGTTAGGATCAAAGTGTTGAAGTACTGCTGCAGATGTCAAGAGCTCTTTGCTCTTGTGAAAAGACTTCTCCTCTTGTTGCCCCCATCGCCATGATGTATTCGCAGCGAGCAGGTGGTACAACGGTTCAAGTACTGAAGACAAGTTGGGAAGGAAACGCCGGTAATAGTTGACGAGTCCAAGGTAGCTTTGAAGCTGCTTGAGGTCAACTGGTCGAGGCGCATTTAGGACAGCTTCTACCTTGCATGGCGTTGGCTTCAGTCCTCCAGCTTCAATCACATGCCCAAGGTATTCCACTTCGGGGACCATAAATGTGCATTTTTCAAGCTTCAGCTTGAGACCTGCGTCCTCTAGACGCTGCAGCACTTGTTCAAGATTTCTTAGGTGGTCTTTGTCATTGAGTCCAGTCACGAGAATATCGTCAAAGTATACGACGACGTGTTGCATATCCTGCAGTAGGTTTTCCATTTCTCTCTGGAAGATTGCAGGAGCCGAGGATACTCCAAATGGTAGTCTGGTATATTGAAAAAGTCCTTTTGGAGTGTTGATGGTGACAATCTTCTGACTCTCAGGCTCGAGCTCCACCTGTTGGTATGCGTCCTTCAGGTCCAGTTTGGTAAACTTGACGCCTCCTGAAAGTTTGGCCCACAGATCTTCCAATCTGGGTACCGGGTACTTCTCGAGAATGGTTGCAGGATTTACAGTAACCTTGAAATCACCGCAGATCCGCACTCGGCCGTCATGCTTTAGAACAGGCACGATCGGTGCTGCCCATTCGGATGTTCTCACAGGACAGATAATTCCATCGCGTTGAAGTCGTTGCAGTTCTTCAGCAACCTTGTCCTGTAACGCAAACGGAATCGTGCGGGGCTTGAAGAACTTGGGCCGCGCTCCCTCTTGGATGGATCTTAGCTTTCACGCCTTTCAGCGTACCTAGTCCGTCGGAAAAAACTTCTTTGTGATTTTTCAGAATTGCTTCCATGCTGGATGCAGCGGTAACTTCTTTCACATCAGCCAAACTTATTCCAAGGGCGTTGATACAATCTTTTCCAAGGAGTGTAGGAGTCTGGTCACGTGCGACATACAAAGGAAGCGTTGCTTCCTTGTTTAGAAATCGAACAGGTACGACAACCTTTCCCTGAGCCTTAGAAAGGTCACTGCGGTAGCTTCTTAGGATGACATCCGAAGGTTCACATTGAAGCTCTGGAAATTCTTCTACGAAAGTTCTTTGTCCGATGATGGAGACGCTGGCTCCGGTGTCCACTTCTAGCCGAAGTGGTTTCCCCGCCACTTCCAAAGTAGTAACATATGGAGGTGATGATATGGAAGATTTCAGTGACCACATGTTGTACGTCACGGGTGGCTGACTCGTGGACGACTGTTCGGGATTGTCAACAGCATAGACAGGACGCTTGTGAGCGTTTTTCTTCTGTCCGGAATTGTTGGATTGGCCTTGCTGCTTCTTTGATTTGCACACACTGGCAAGGTGTCCCGTCTTGTGGCATGCGTTGCACTTTGTTTTCGAGTGCTTGCACACAGACGCATAATGAGGCCCTCCACAACGATAGCAAGTTATGCTCTTCGATGAAGTTTCTTTGGCCACGTTGATACCTTCGGACGCCACTTGACATTTTCCTTGTTTCATTAGCAAGTTCGAATCGTTCTTCGCAGTTTCCATCGCTAGTAGAAGCTGTATCGCAGACTCGAACGTGAGATTGGGCTCTTCAAGCAACCGTGTCTGCATTGTGGAGTCATTGATGCCGCAGACAAGTCTGTCGCGAAGCATGTCATTCAGGAATGTTCCGTACTCGCAGTGCTCGGTTAGTTTTTTGAGTGCGGCAACATAGTCGCTCACCGATTCTCCCGTGTGTCGAAATCGGCTGTTGAACTTGCAACGGGTGACTACCACAGAGGGTTTTGGGGTGAAGTGGTTGCTGAGAGCGCCAAAAATCTCCTCTATGCTCACTTCGTTAGGAGCCTTGGGGGTCAGAATGCTCCGCAGAATGGAGTACGTTTTAGCACCACAGGACGTCAGAAAAACTGACCTTCTTTTTGCAGTAGGAATGCTGTTGGCCTCGAAGAACAGCGCGGTGCGTTCCATGTACTCTAACCAGTCCGCTGGTTCCCCGTCAAAGACTTCCAGGGTCCCGTACTTCGGCATGGTGGAGCTGAACACGGCTAATGCTTGCCGTAAGGAGATAATACAGGTTTTACCCTCGTCGCCAATTTGTTATAAGCTTTCCCGAGTAATCGGGGGACAGGAAGGAATGAACACCATCGTTCTCAGCGTGCGTGTGCAGGCAGCTCGAGATGCCAGACACTTCTTGTCTTTATTCTCGCGCCACGGATGCATGGCGCCGCTAGCATCATCATCACAGTATATTTTTATGTGATCGAACTATGTAAATGAATACCCATAGATGTGAAACAAGAGCTATGCTGTGTTCACAAATCAGCTGAAAGGGCGCTGGAAGCTATGTGCTCACAGGACCAGTCAACCGCTTGCACACCTTTCATCAGCTGAACCCGTTTGCTGCACGCGAGTGTGAGGGGAGAGTGTAACTACATGGGCTCAAGGCTGGCGGTTCACAGTTGAAAAGATAGCGCAAAGCTCCCACCTCCCAGTCATCTTTTGTTCATAGAAGATCTAGGCCATAAGCTTTTCCTCAATTTTGAATTCCCTTTCAGTATAAAAATACGCACTCATACGTGGTTTGTGTGCATGCGTTCATGTACGGCTGTGTCAATGTCTTTGTGGGCGCGCGCGTGCGCGTATGTGTGCGTTCGCGAGTGAAGTTTTCTCCTCATTCCCTACGAGTTGGTACCAACCAATTCCTAATGTTACTTTAATTGTAGACATTCACGCGCAATGGCTCAAAAAACCAAGACATGTCTAGAGTTCAATCTGCTGCAGTTTCGCGCTCACGTTTGAGCTTCGTTTTTATTTAAATTTTTTTTAAAGTAATTATTCTCCTTCTTCGTGCGGGCTGGAACGCCGCATACCTCGAGCAAAGATCGATTTCGTATTGAAAATAAACGTCGATCTATATGCCCAGGAAGGACAGATATAAACACTTAAAATTCTAAAACCGCCAGAAAAACCACAGCTCCAACGATGCAAAAGTATAGCCAGCCTTTGACATCTGTCTTCTTACATGAAAGAAGTTTTGACCAGGTTCAATATAAATATATATTTCAAAATAACTTGTATCATTGTAAATCATATGTTAGGTATTTGGTTAAAAAAAAATCGTTAATCCCGGCTGCAGGGAAGGCCTTGGCAACTGCAATACCGCTGTATCGATCGCTCAAAAACTCCCCCTCGGCCGAATCCCAAGGCTTCTTTAGAACCGATCGACACTGCCGGGCATGTTTATTCTCACGTCCCAAAAAAAGAAAAAAAAACAAAAAAAAAACAGCGCTTCTTCGCTCCCTAAAGAAATGTTTGCCTATTCAGTTGTCAAACTATAACGAAGGATTAATAGTGGCAGTCCTTTTCAAGTTCACGAAGCCGACAATACTCCCACCGTTTGATCCGCGCTGTCACCAGTGCTTGGGGACAACCTGTGTCGCCCTCTATCGTACGCATGTCGTACTAAGTCCGGTCTAGGTCGCGCCACTTGGCTTCTCTTCGGCGCTGTCGTGGAGTGCTCTTTTAGCCGAAGGTTGCTGCTCGCAGACTTTCCGAGAGTAGCAGAGGGGTGTGCCTCGACCTTCAGCATTCCTGCGCAAACATCGCCGTAAGTCTACTTTCCTTCGTTGGCGCATTTAGTCGTCCAGTTTTGATTCCATGGACACAATTGGGCTCTCGGAAGGTTCTTATCGATTCGAATTTTCTGTGCCTTTCCGAGTTCCAGTTCTGCGTGTTTTGTCTGAATATATGGGGACGTAGAAACGCCGCCGCTTCGCTGATTGGCCCCGTTCCAAAGATATCGTTCTTTCTGTGATCTTGACCGTCGCTGTTTGAGGCGGCCAATTTAGCCTTTATAATTTTTTTTTCTTCACATTGGTATGAAGGTATGTCTCAACAAAAGAAAATAATTAGGGTTCTATGTGTTCGGGTTTATTGCTCTTCATATTCGAGGCTGTTTTTTCGTGGTTTACGATCTGTTTTGGAGTTCGGTGTTTATTTTGAGGTCCAGCAAGGAATCAGGGTCGATCGGGACTTATGTTATTAATCAACAGCATATTGTACATTTATGATACCACCCCCCCCCCCCCCTTACCACCTTTCCTCGCGGGGTCTCCTCTTTTCTTCAGGTCTATTAAACTTATGCCAGTCATTGCAAGAAATGCCAATGCCCTGACCAGAAAACTTATGGAGGCAGAGTCGATAGCGCGCTTGGCTTAAGAGTGTGTTAGCGCCCCGTCGGTTCGCTTATCGGCTAAAGAATAAGATTTCCTTTCACGGCGACAGAATTCGCGATGATATTGCGGGGTTTTAGTGGGAGTCATAGGTTGTGGGTGCCTCCTTTTGTTTGTTCGTGTATATAGGCTGCGCCTTAACGATTAATACTTCAGTTGTAAGTTCAGCGATTGTTTGTCTCTTTTCTTCTGCCCCGTCTGTTTCGCTGCATGTTTTAAATAGCAATATTGCAATTAATGCAAAGGTGCAAGCGAGATGGGATTAGTGATGGAAGTGTTCAACATAAGTAGATAAAAGAGCGCACAAAGGTACAAAAAGAAGCGACAAACCAGACAAGACAGAGCGCTTAGTCCTGTGAGGTTTGTTGCTTCCCTTTGCACATGTTTGCGCTGTTTTGAATCAATATGTTTAACAACTACTAAATAGTACAGCTCTCAACCTTATGACTGAAGTGTCACTGAAGTGCCAAAAGACGATGAAACCGACGATTTTACGTTTGCGCTGTAAAACATCCATAGAACAATAAGAAAGTGGATTAGAATGTAACGAAAGTCACTTCAAGTACCACTTAGGACCTTGCTCAGAAATAACCAAAATCGCCTTCCGAGGGGAAGAAACCTGGATTTGAAAAAAACTATGGAAGTCTAAACATATAAGGGGGCAAGATTAAGAAGTCCGAGCACACATGAAGACGGACAGCGCAGTGACGAAAAGCTGGTCGAGCAACAACAGCTGACCCAGATATTGAGTACGTTTAGCGTGCTCACACCACTCAAACAGCAAGTCGATGAGCTAGTCAAAATGAAACAAACTGTCAGGTGCATAAATAAGTCTTTGTAATCAATGTCGGACAGCTATGAGGAGCTGCTTAAGAAAGTAAAAGACCATGGCAGCGAGATAAGAGATCCAAAATAGAGGGTTAGTACTCTTGAAAACGAGAGGACTGACGAAACGAATCAACTGAGGAAAGAGACAAACAATATTTAGCAATCCGGACGTAGAAACAACCTCGAAGTACACGGACTTGTTAATTGCCTGAACGAAAACCTACTAGAAAAGCTGAACAAAATCACCGACCAGATTAAAGTGCCCAGACAAATAACAGATAACGCAGAAGCAGTTCACCGAATCCCCACTAAAACAAAGGAAAGACCCATCGTGATTGTACGATTAATCAAGCGAAACGAACGAGATGCGTGGCTTAAAAATAAGCAGAAACTGAGGACTTGCGCAGAAGGAGATAACGCCTCTCAACCAGGGTACATGACCGGTCAAAACCGAAATCTGTTCTTTGATGTTAAAACAAAAGCAAAACACCTCGGTTACTAGTTTTTCTGGAATAAAGAAGGATACTCGTATGTGCGAAACCGAGAAGGCGACCAGACTATTAGAATTGAGCACGAAAGTAACCTTACAAAAAATGAATAGGTAGTATATTCACCGAATTAAACATGGAAAGCTATAGTATAAACGCTACTGTTAACGTGTTTTGTTTTGTTCTTTAGCACAATAATGTGTGCAGTCTTAAAAACGTTTTAATGAAATAAACAGTGCGATAACCCCTTATTCGGGCATTGCAGACGTAATTGTATTCTCGGAAACAAACGTCACATCTTATGAAGCGACCAATTGTTTTCTATTGACAATTTCGAGATGCTTTGCACGAGAGAGCCGAGAAGAGGGGAGGAGGTATCTTGATCGTGATAAATCAAAAGTGGAAATAACCAAACACACTCACAAAAAAAAAGATTACTTCTGCCCAATGGAGGCGCTTCATATTGAAATATAATTCCACGGAAAGAAACTCTCTATGCTATGATTATGTCGAGCACCACAGGGAAATGTAAATACATTTTAAAATTATATCAAATGGCTAAACGATAACAAAGGTTGAGATTTAATAGCTGTTGGGGATATTAATCTAGACATCACAAACCCTAGTTTAATCATAAATAATTGCCTAGACAATATAGCACAAGCGGAACTGGAGTCAATGATACATGAATTTACAACAAAAAGAAATAGTCGGCGATAAACTATCTAGGGCCAGGCGTCAATTAAAAATTTTAACCCGATTAATCGCCACCCTTTACTTTATTAATTAGTCGATTATTTGGTCTAGTTTCTTTCCAGCCATAATATTTCAAAACATATATATATATATATATTTTTTTTTTGCGAATTTGTGACAAATGGCAGAATATACGATTTGGATTTCGAATCAGCCTCTACGTGTAGTTCCGCACAGTTCGAAAACACTCGCACTCTAAGGTTATTACTTCAGTTGCATAAGGCAAAGAGGTTCGTTGATATTTTTCAGCAAGAGTGGCTCCCCTTGTAGGGAACTGATGCATGAAATCAATTCAAGGGAGTCGGAAACACCGAATGGCTGCTCAAGGCAAACACTAGAAAGGTGTGTGTGCAAAAAGAGGCCAAGTGTTTTGTGCTAGCAGAACCTTTCGAAGATGATACTTCTGAACGTAATTCCCATTGTGTAAGATTTTGCAAAAAAAGGAAAACTGATAAATAATGAATTTATCGGGAGGTTTTCGAACGCAAGTATGGAGAAAGGACAAACAAAGAGAAACGCAACAGACGTGGGCGGCATTTGACTCACAACAACTTTACTTCCACCACTTCGGTGAGGTCTTCGTAACTCGTCTTCTCCGGGGGCTAGACCGCTTCACTCTTTCCGACATATTTCTTCAGTTCCGCATCCAGGAATTTTTCTTCTTCGGCTGTGAAGTGCAGCGACATTTGCATTGTCGTCGTCACTTCTCTGAATGTTCAGCCTTTCACTGTGCCCTCTGACTGCTACCGTGCCCTCAAAGATTGTTTGACACCCCCGCAGTAATTGACGTAAACTTTTAAGGGACGCTCCCCGGTGATCGTAAGTATGCATTTATGTTCGTTTAGACGTTCATTTAAAACTCTACGTACAGTTCGCGCTTTCCACTTTTCCCCGCCTTCTTGTTTTCTATATTCACTCTACTTTTTATCTTGCCCCAACTTGGCTCCCCTTGCAGCTTAGGAGAGGGGAGCGCTAATCCATCTTAGGATTTACAAGTATATAGGTTCTACGTCAGCTTTTAAGTAGCGTCCGGTTTGTCCTACATACATTTTTTCGCAAGAAAGTGAGATGGAATACACTGCATTATTCTCGCATTTTACAAATTTCACCTTGTGGTTTCTCTGACATTGTTTATCTAGGCTTGGTTTTCCGTTCACCTTTAGACCTATTCTTGCTAGCTCAAACTTCCATGTGCATAGAGTGCTACAGTGCTCTGCCAAGACCTTATGTGATGGGAATATTTGAGTGTAGGAGATTGTGATTGACGTTCTGAGTCTGTCGTTGCTTTTTTTCCTCTTGTTTTCATCTAATTAGCCACGATGCCATTATTTTCAATTTGTTCCTGGGGTACCCTGCCCAGATAAGGAGTTGAACTTGATTTCTTAGGCACTATGTTGCTGTGTGGATACGTGACATTTTTAATAATGATTATAGGACCGAATTTATGATGCCATGTTTGACTGTTTTCCGCTGCGAACGTTCAAAATGAAGTAGCGGCTTGTTTGTTCTCTGTTCAAAACCCCAACACGTTTCCTTGTTTTAAATTATAATTTAAAAACAAAATGTAAGAACTGCAGTCATATTTTATCTCCTGCGTCTTCCATGAAGTTCAGGCCGAGCCAGAGCTTTTGAAAACATGCTTATATGGCTTGCCTTTTAATTTCCTGAGCACGCATGACCATATACTTGTTCCACAAGCGAATTATGTACAGGTTTCCGCAGTTAATCCAGCGAACAAACATAATCTCTACCACACGTCCGCCGCACTCAGATATATTTTACTTGGCGCCGGGGCAACTGAGGAACCAGTGCAAACTTCTGTTTTTTATTGTAGATGCTGTTCTCAAACTCAACAAGTAGCGAGGACAAGTGCAGTCTTAAAAGCTGAATAAAAACTTTCAGGCTTATCCCCGCTTCATTATGAAAGTTTATAATGATTTGTTTTATTACTGCTGATTCTACTTTTTCAATCATGATTTTTGTGTCCAAGGAGAAGCAGAGGCTTCCGATATCTAGAAAAAGCAGTGGCATCTGCCTTCATATAAAAAAGCTTCCCGGAGGGCACTGTAACACTGTGTTCACATGCAGAAATAAGCTAAAAAAATAGTTCCCAAGGTGAAGGGAAAACCAAGCCTATAAAAACAATATCAGCGAAACCACAGTATAAAGTTTGTGAATTTTGAGGGTAACGAAATATATTCCATCCCACTTCCATGTGAAAAACGTATATGAGACAAACAGGACGCTGCTTAAAGGAACGCCTAAAAGAACTTAACGTCAAACTAACAATCACTGGGGAGCCA